CTAAGCGTTCACCTATGAACCAGGAGGCCACGGTTTGATTCCCAGTCAGGGCACATGCCTGGATTGTGGGCTCGATCCCCAGTGTGGGGCTTGCAGGAAGCAGCCAATCAGTGATTCTCTCTCATCATTGATGTTTCTCTCTCTCTCTCCCTTCCTCTCTGAAATCAATAAAAGTATATTTTTAAAAAGGAATCATTATAATCTACCATGTCAGCCTCCCTGCTCCATTAATCTCATATCCTCAACCATCTCCTGTTACCCATCATGCTTCCTCCCCCACCTTTGAGCTTTTACCCAAGAAGTCTCATGCTCTCACTCAAGGAAACTTCCCAGATGTGTTGACCCCACGGCTGCCCACAGCTGTACAGTTTGTGGGCTGCCCAAAGGCACCCACTGAGGGGGCAAGTTGAGAACTGAGCTGCATTTTGCTTGGCACTTCTTGCACCGTGGTTCAGAGCTGTGTCTACAGGAGGGATTACTATTATTATTATTATTATTATTACCCAAAAGTACCACCTGCTCTCCAAGCCCCATGCCATACATGAGGAACGCATCTGCTGAGAGAGGTCTGTTCCAAGGTTCTTTTTTTTTTTTAATATATTTTATTGATTTTTTACAGAGAGGAAGGGAGAGAGACGGAGAGAGATAGAGTTAGAAACATCGATGAGAGAGAAACATCTATCAGCTGCCTCCTGCACATCTCCCACTGGGGATGTGCCCGCAACCCAGGTACTTGCCCTTGACTGGAATCGAACCTGGGACCCCTCAGTCCGCAAGCCGACGCTCTATCCACTGAGCCAAACCGGTTTCGGCTGTTCCAAGGTTCTTTACACACCAGCAATGTGGCCCCAGCTGTGCCCTCCGCCCCCACCCTCAATATTCTCCATTTCCAACCCCAGCTTCCCATCATCACAACTGTACTGACATATTTCATTGGTTTCTTGTGAAGTTGCTTTCTTTATCGCACAATATCTGAAAGCTGAGATCTCACCCATTTTTCTGAATCCTGGGGTACCTGAGAAAGCTATTTTCCTCTCACTGTGGTCAAGCTCAATGGTGAACAGGAATTGAGGTTAGAGAGCAGGTAACGCCCAGGACCTACAGGACCCGGTAAATCAGGGAGGGGATAGTAGCCCCTTCCTTGTCCACGAGGCCAGACCCAGGGCAGCCCGGACTGAGGCAGGGACTGGCTGGTCCTCCTTCTGGAAGGTCCTGCCAGCCCTGTGATGTCCCCCTCCAGGAAATGGGGCCAGTTCTATGCAAATGCGCTCTTGCCCAGGAGTTTGGTTTCTTCTCTCCCAGCTCCTGGCACAGAGGAACCAACATGAGCGGCCGCTTGGCAGGACAGAGAGGAGCAGGCTAGCAGTCCCAAGGCTCAGGTGACACGGCCCGGCCCAGGAGACGGGGATGTTGACTGGGGCTTTAACAGCCCTCCCGATGCCAATCTCAGCCGAAAACTCGATATTTCCACTTGGAACAAGAAACACCAGCAGAGGGCTGGGGAGAGAAGGGCCATGTACCAGGAGTGTCCCCTGCAGGTCTCACTGGGTAGCACCAGAGCAGAGGAAGGCAGCACAGGATGGGTGGAGCTCAAGGAGATGCCTGGGATGGTGAGGATCATGACCGGGAGGAGGAGGAAGAGGGAGCAAGAATTTACTGAGTACTTACAATGTGCTAAGCATTGCCTCACATAATCCTCATGACAACCCCAAGGGATGGATAACATTGTTGTTTTCATATCGTAGGTGAAGAAACTGTTTAGCGAGGTGAAGCAACTTGCTCAAAGTCACCCAGTTGGTAATGGACAGCTTTGGGATTGAACCCAGTCACTGCCTCCAGAGAGTATATTATTTAGTACCATCTTCCCCATCTTGCCAGTTCACTCCAGGAACTTTTATCCTCTGGTGTCCATTCCTATCTCTTCCTGCTCTTCTTGATGATATCTGGAGACTAGCCTGGCTGGTGTGGCTCAGTGGTTGAATGTTGACCTATGAACCAGGAGGTCACGGTTTGATTCCTGGTCAGGGCACATGCCCAGGTTATGGGCTTGATCCCCTCAGCGGGGCATGCAGGAGGCAGCCGATCAATGATTCTCTCTCATCATTGATGTTTCTATCTCTCTCTCCCTGTCCCTTCCTCTCTGAAATCAATTTTAAAAAGTATTTTTTAAAAAAAGGAATCTGGAGAGCAGGTCAATAATAATATCAATAATAACAACACCCAGGGTTTGTATACCACTCTCTGCTTTTAATTATTTCCCTGGAGAAAATGAACATTGAGGTATTTCAATTTCTCCAAAATCTTTCCTTGTTTTAATCAGTATTCCAACAGCTATTTCTATACAGTTATGATCAACTTATAAGAATTTTCTATGTAAGAGTGTGCCTATAGGCACATTTACATATATAAAATAGTAACCAATTATATTGATATGCCACCAATATTACTGAGGCAGTGTAACTCTGTGAGAATGGCATGGGAGGGGGTGGCACAGGTGTGTGTTTGACTGTCACCTCTACCGTTATCCAAACGCTGTGACATGTGGTACATCACTCACCTTTTCTCAGTTTTACTTTTAAAAATGAAGCAAATGATACTTACCTCATTGGGTATCTCACAGGGTTCTTAAATGAGGTGTGTATCTACTTCATAGCTAATGCTCAACAAGTGATTAGCAGTAGTGTTAGTACTATGCCTGGACGCGTCTATCTCCCCCTGGGACCAGGAGCTGTCCTAGGTAGAGACGTTAATTTATGTAACCAACCCCACCTAGCACATTTTTGGCACTTGGACCCCATAAACGTTTGCTGAATGAGTAGCTAGTAAGCCCTAACCTAGCCGTTTCTCGCGGTTGGACATCTGAATTGTTTCTAGACTTTCTAACAGAATTAACTTCAAAGGCCTGTGTATCTATTGCCTCATTCGGTCTGCACGCCTGTGAAGCGGGGGAAAGGCCCACACCCTGTGAGAGATGGAACAGCTGTGGCTCGGGGAGGGAGGGGACACCTATGGGCCACATCACAACTTAGTAACAAATGTCAGAGCCCCTGGCCCAGCCCCCCTTCCTCGGG